GAAATGACAGGAACCAAACCCTCCCTGGGATGAAGAAATCCGATTCCTACCCAGTTGCAAGACACAGGATTTTCCTGTGCTTTATGCCCTGCAGGATTCGGTGAGTGCCCATCACAGAGATAAAACCTGAGAGGGAAGCTGGAGGTGCAGCTGAAGGTTGTTCTCAATGCTCTGTACTCACCCCGAGCTGATTTCTTGTGCTGCCTGGGGAACTCGGGGAAAGGAGCTGCTCTGGGCACAGCAGGAGGGGCTGGCAGAGCTCTCTGTGCTGCTGGAAGGATGAGCCTCCGGCCACTGAGGCTCAGGGCACCTACAAGAAATGACACTCCTGAGCAATTCCAGCTAGGAATGGAAAGGAATTCTTGGCTATGGAGAAAGAATTAAGCACAGGCAGATCCAAGTTCTGCATCAACACTACAAAAGCAGCACTTTCATTTGATTGAAAGATTCCTGTCTTTCTTTACCTTGAAGGAAGGTGAGCTGTGCCTATAAAAATTAACAAATACATGTAAGATATTGCACCAGTGCTAATTCTGATAGATGTTTGTATCTCTATAATTATATGCTTGTACAATGCAATTTAATATGCAGAATAGATGAGGATCAACTGTTGTAAAGCACAATATAATCATGCAATTACCACTAAAAACTGATTGCTAAAACAGTCCAAGCCTAGTTAAGACTGAACAATTAATAACCAGCTGTTAATCATGATAGTTTGACTGGTATTTTTAGCAGAACCTCCACCATACACACAATTCTTTGCAGCAGCAGCAGCTGAGCCCTGTGAGCTCCAAGATGTGAGCTCCAAGAGCTCAGGGTGCCGCTCAGCAGGACACACTCCACACCCTCCACGTGGAGCAAGCAGCCCAAGCTCATCCCCACCCTCTGCAAGGTTTGAAATCACAACTCTTGGAAGCCTGCAGGAGGCAGGAAATTCAATTCCCAAACATGTGCTGCCAACAGCAGCACCCAGGGGCCTTTGGGACTCACCTTTTGGGGTGTCCTCCTCCACCAGGGGGAAGGGAGAGCCCAGGGAGTGAAAGGCAGGCAAAGCCCAAGGGCTGGTGGCTGTGGGATCCTTCCCTGACTTCTGACTGCACACCTGGGAAGAGACACAACCACCTCTGACACAGGGAAATCTGGGATGTACAGATTTACAGATTCTCTGCTCCTGCAGCAATAAATAACAAATATCATTTCTGCTGTGACTGTTTCATTAAGATTTAACAGTGCACCACTCCTTTTATTACTTGTGAACATGCTGCAGTATTGTCTACTGTTGTTACTTCAGTCATTGAAAAAAGAGTTAATTAAATTTAATTGATGTCTTGTGTACTATTTAATGAAGGAATCTCAGGAAGTTTGTATTTACACTACTCCCCTTAAAACTGAGCAGTGTTTCTTGACAGAACAGTATTAAAAAATATAAAATGCATACACAGGCAAGGAACCAGAAGGAAAAAGAAATACTTTAAAATATTAGCTTTTAATGAGTGATTAGCAAGCTTTTGGTGCAATCCAAGCCATGGCTGGGATCTTGGAGCACTGCTGTGTCCCAATTATTGAATAACAGCACCCAGCAACTTTCTAGGAAGGGAGAAGGAACTCTCAAGAGGGAAATGAGACAGACCAAAATTAATTATTCTAATCTTTCCTCCCAATTTGTCTAACAACGCTGCCCACAAGAGATAAGGGAGAGAAAATCTGTATTTTTTATCATCATATCCAGAGCAATCCCAGGCCCCCACTTCAGTTATGGCCATTCTGGAGCATTCTGTTTTCAAAATTAACTATTCTAATCTTTCCTCCCAATTTGTCTAACAACGCTGCCCACAAGAGATAAGGGAGAGAAAATCTGTAATTTTTATCATCATAGAGAACCCTCCAGAGCAATCCCAGGCCCTCACTTCAGTTATGGCCATTCTGGAGCATTCTGTTTTAAGGGATGGAGGTGGATGAACCCTCGTGTGCTGGTGTTCCAAGAAAACAGCAATAACCACAGCACAAAGGTTAACTTTATGTCTGCTGCCACCTAAGTGCCTTGATACTGAGAAAAGGGAATTACAAACCACATTTGCCTGCTCACCCTCAGCCCCAGCAGCCTGGTGAGGCCACCACAAAAAAATATAAAAGGCAAGAAATTGAATTAAACAGTGATTCCTCTTCCAGACTGTTGCTGCTGTAGCAGTGAGGCAGCACTGATTTTACTCCTGGTCAGTTTTATCCTAATTTAAATCCCAGTTATGAGGTTTTGTTATGATAAACAGCACATGAAACATATTTGTTTTCATTGTGTTCATAGAGATGTAATAAGCTGCAAGGAAAAGCAGTTCAGGTGCAGTGTGTGAGTTCAAAAGCAGCCTGGAGGCTTGGGTTGTTGTTTTTTTTTTAATTGCAGATAGATATTTAATTCTTTTTTGCTGCATCCTTTAATTTCTATAAAGTCCATGGCAGGTGTGATGTTAAAACAAAGAACAGAAATGCAATTTAACCTCTCATTTACACTGCCCAGTGCCATCACTCAGTAGGACAGGAACAGAGTGGGGCCACAGAGCTGATCCAAAGCAGCTCCCATGAAAATTCCACCCAACCCCTTCCCTTCCAGCACCCTGACTGCTGCACTGGCTCCCTCCTGAAGAACTCAGGGAGGTACCAAAGCAAAACTGCCAACCTGCTGCCATTCTGGGAGTTATTGCCACTAAAATGAAGCCAACACAATCATAAGAAGAGCTCAGAAATAATATTAAGTACTGCAAGAGAAAGGTTTTTACTTTTAACATCACTGCTTCATCATGAGCACTTCTAAAATTCAGTTTTTCAGGGCTGGAAGGAAGCTCTTAAAGTGCAGGGCAGACCAAGGCTGACTTGCCTTAAAATATGCTTGGAGTGTGCTAAAAAACTGTTTTTTCATTTCAAGTGCTTCTGAGTGTAATTAACCTGGGACACAAGAAAAACAATTCTATTACCCTTTCTAAAGTGTTTTTCTCCTGTGGATAAACCTCTCCCACTTTATTTTTTCTTTTTGCTTCATTTTAAATAGGGCACTTGTTGGAACACCACAGGGATTTTTCTGATTAGTTCCCTATTTGTTTTCTTTTTACCTAGCAATATTTAACTAGAACATCTTTTTATTTTTGTTGGTTTTTTGGTAAATTTCTTTGTAAGTATTTTTTCCTCCAGTAAAAAAACAGAGACTGGTATTAAATACAGAGAAAAGAGGAGTATTGTGTATCAAACCAGGAACAGAGAGAGATGAGATTTGGTAAATAAATATCAGAAAATCTGAGGGTTTGATAGTGATGGGAAAAAAGGGATAGAACAGATTAATTTATCATTCCATCTATCTTCTCCAAACTGTCAGAATTGTTGTTAAGAAGTTCCTGTCAGGATTTGATGGACACAGCACTTCCCCCTATATAGGAAAAGAGGAAGAACAGCAAAATAAAATTAATGGACCTAAGGTCACTTTTCAGGATGTTCAGGAGACTCTCAGGAAAGGGCTTGGAGAAGGCAAGTGTAATTGGAAAAATCTGGAACTGCATCTTTAACACCAGATCTTGTGTTGTCCTTACCTTCTCCAAGCTCTTGGAGTAACCAGAGATGGCTCTGAACTGTCAATTTCCCACACATTTGGAAAAACCAAGCTTTGCCCCTTTGCTGACCCACTGCTGTCTAGCTCTCCCAGGAACCCAGATCCCTCAGAATTCTCCCTAACAGGTGTGAAAGAGAATGAAGGGAGAACTTTGGTGAATCCCACATCTGCTTTGTGAAACAGGCACCAGCAGCAGCACAGAAGGGAGCGAGGGAGATAATTGCTGCCTTGAACCACAACATGTTTTCCTGGTGGGCAGAGGGCCAGCTTCCAGCAGGCAGGATTTGTGGGATCAATTCCCTGCTTGGAATTCAGGGCTGAGCCTCCCTTCGTGTCCGGAGCCAGCTGCAGGCAGCAGCCCATGGCATCCCAATCAGGCAGGGAGTTTGTCAGGGAATGCTGAGCTGCACACAAACAGCTTCAGCAGCTCTGCCCGCGCCCCTGCCTGCAAAATGACACTCCAGCTCCAATTCCAGATGACAAGAACTGGATAAAAACTTAAAACAAATGGTGACCTTTCAAAAGATTAATTTGTTTACCAACAAAACGTTCTGCGTTTGTCAGGAGAGATGGGGGTGACCTTCACATTCCCATTTCCAGGTTGAGAGGATGCTGACTGCACTCATCTGTTAACTTAACTCTCTCTCACCAATTATTTCCTTTTTATTTTTAGTGACAAGAGGATTTTATTCAATCACCGTGCTGCTTATTATGATTACATGCTGAAATACAAACGCAAGGAGCTTCTTTTGATTTACTGCAGTGTGACATCAATTTGTTTAAGTCTCATCCTGCCACCACTGCCAAACTCTGCTTTGGCTGTAATTAGAGCCACACGCCTGGCTTTAAAACACAATCAGCTCTGGCCCACCAAAAGACCTGGTTTTCTTCTACAGCTCCTTCCACTCACTTGAAATGAAAGGAATTTCCCCGCTTGGCTTTATAATTTTGAAAATAAATACACTTTCAGGGATAAGCGTTAATGATTAGCAGCATGCAAATGCTGAACAAAGAATGAATAATTGAAGATATGATTAGAATGGTTGTGCTCAAACAAGTGAGCTTAAAAAAAGCCCCAGAATCACTGCCATCACCATTAGAGCTACACTAGATAAGATGCAACTCATAAAGGCTAGAAATCATCACCATATTAAATTCTACCTCATGAATAAATGAAAAGGTTCCTAAGTTTACAGTATAATATACATTTATAAGAAAACAAGGACCCAAAAGTGCCAGTATAATTCTATAACAGAACAGCAGCCCTATGAAAACAGAAGGTAGAGCTGTGAATCTTTTCTACATTGCAGCAGTGCATCAGAATTATTTTTGCAGCAATTCAGATTACTGTTCCTTTGGCTGGATACTCCATGGGAAGTATACATATTTAATAATTATCCACTCATCATTTTTCATCTCTCATCCAGATATAGGCTGCAAAAAAAGTGATGCCCAGCGTGTGTTTCAAAGAGAATTACAGCCCTCATTTTAAAATAACTACAGAACTTAGCAGAGGATGAAGCATTATTATTAGACCCAAAAAGGTCCAAAAGGGCAACAGTTAATTGTTCTTAGTTTCTATGATAAAACCCAGCATCAGCAACTTTATAATACCAAAAGAGCAAGAAAAGACATCATTTTTGGTGAAACAATGAAATCCTGACTAATAATTTTTCCAACTACTGGAATGGCAGGATAATAAAAAGTCCGGGTAGATTTGTGCTTGACCCCTCAGGTCACCTCCAACCCCGACTTTTCAACCTCACCACGCTTTCAGCCGCTCAGCCCTCGCTGAAAAGCCCTGAGTGGCGCGAGACAAGCAATTAGTTTCGAATTTAATCTGAATTTACTCGGGTGAGGGCGATTTTCCGGGTGTTTTTGGGGAGCCGCTCGCTGACCCCTGAGGGACGCGCGCGTGCGGACAGCGCCCCCTGCCGGCCGGCCCTTCCCGCGGCCGCCAAAATCCACATTTCACCCAAATTAATCTAATTTCACACCTGAAACTGCACGCAGATTCACTGGCCTTACTGCTAACAATCATATATATCATGTATCATCATACAGATCGTATAAAAGCCCTCCTTTAAGGGCTGGTAGACACCACCTTTAACAACAAACACATCACAGCAAATACCAACTGCAAAAATTTTATAGCCAAAGAAGGCAGAACATCCCAAACCACACATTGTGCCCCAAGATTCCAAAATTTCGACGAGAATAAATTAGAGAGGAAACACCTGCTTGGTTTTTAAGCCTGTCAGCTCCTCAGTAACTGTAAATATGTATCTGGGAGCCTGAGTAATTCACATTAAATGCTTGCAATTTAAATCCCCAATAAGTTTTCTGTGCTCCGTGCATGTTTCAGGGAGAGTGGTAAAACACATGGCTCTCTGCAGTCGGATAATATTCCTCTCTGTGAGTGTTTTAGAGTGGTTCTAAAAAGCTATTAGCCATGATGCTTCTTTCTAATTAGCTCTATTATCACAGGGTTAGACAAATCACCTCTTAAGTCTGGGCAGCAGCTTTCCAAAAATAATTTTTTTTATAAGTGGCAGCTCACAACTGTGCCATTCACAGATTCTCTTTATGTTGTTTAAAACCAAACACCCCAGAATCTCTCCTAGAGCACTGGGCTTGCTGCAGGATGCTTCTGTCACAAATTAAATTTTAGAAGAGCATCCCCATGTGAGACCATTGGCTGTGTGGACCACAGTGCTGTGCTAAATTTGTGAACATAATTGATTTTTTGGAGGGATGGCTGTGCCTACGTTTTTTTTTTTGGGGGGTGGGTTTGAAAGCATTCTTTGCTAAAAATATCATCTTTACATTTAACTGCTGCAGAACGATTACAGAACTGGCAGCAGAACCAAAATTTGCAGTTGCAGGAGGGAAATTTGGAAAAATCAAAACTTCATCTTGCACAATTTGAACACTCCCAGAGCAGAGAGAAGAAGAATGGGGTTTTAATTCTTCCTGCATCTTTGGGTCACATCCAGAAGTCCCCAGGCTTCAGTCTGATTTTCCTGACATTACTGACCATTCACATCCCATGTATTATCCCTATTTTTGCTGGACTGGGACATAAACCTGTTACATGTCAGATCCGTTTTCCCCAGTATTACCACTCAAAATGTTTTGATCTTTAATACCCGTGTCAAAAAGCAGGAAATTATGAGGAAATAACTTTTATGTAAATATTTTATTTAGGACTGATAAATATTAACTGTAATATTTGTATATACTGTAATATTTGTAAATAATAACTGTAATATGCAAAGCAATGTGTATAATAAACCCACAAAATATTAAAAGTTACTTACAGGAGCAGATTTTTTCTTAGCTATAAGTGGCAGCCTGGTCTCATCGTTGGGATGTTTTAAACCAGCTTTATTATCCACGTTCTCTGGGTCAAGCATAATTTTAAAATCCATTTCCACCTGCTGCTGAAATGGAGAACAGGGATAATCCTAAAATAACTGCACTGGGGCTGAAGTGTTTAGAGGCAGAAACTGGCTGTAACATGTTGTAAATTTGCAAAATGATGATAAAAAATGGTATTTTTTGACTCCACACAGAACTAGGCAAACAACAAAGTGCCTTTGTTTAGAAGGAAAACTTTGTTTAGTAAGGAGTGGAACTATTATCCAAATGGACACATCAATGCAGGCACAGAAGCTGATTATTAGTAAATGAGGAATTAAAAACCCCTGATAGTAATCAGAATTAAAACATAGTTCTTAGTGCACTCTGTGATCTGCATGGAATGAGTTTGACTATTCTGCTAATAAAAATCATGATGATTTAAATCCCAATGGACAGAAAAAGACTTTACAAGTTTCTTTGTGTTATAAGAAACACCTAAAGCATACCTATAAAATCCAGAGGGATGCCCTATGTTTTTATTACAGTAGAAGTTTCTTAAGTTAAAAATATTTTTGTGCACATTCTTTTGTATAAACATACAAATAAATCCAAGAAAATTCAATTTTTTTCAAATAAAATATGCCATAAAAAGTTCAACAATTATCAGATGTGTACTTGAACTATTGAACAACCGTGTTACTTTGTGAAAGCAGTAAAAATGCTTTAATTTATTTATCTGCACTATATATTCTCTCTTCTTTTGATGGTAATTACAAGCAGATGTATCAATGAGATGCTCATTTAGATTTGGGGTTGTAAGAACACAAGTTATTATCCAAGCCAATTACTCTTTTACCCACATGGCTGCACAGAGACAGAAAGTTCAATTTTCACCTCATCAGTGCTTTTGTGGTATTTATTTTATTACCATAACACACCGTTATGCAGGGAGGAAACTGCTGGTGCTATTAAAAAAAATAGAATTGGGGGAATTGAGCACCTTTCAATTAAAATAGAGATGATTCCCAAAGCAAACTCCTCACTCAGGCTGACAGGGAAATGATCAATGCAGGGGGAAAGTGCCACAGAGGATAACAAGAACTGGAATTATTAATAAAAAACCACCTGATAAAAGTGGCTTTGTCAGCTCGGGGGGGTGGGAAGTGCCAATTCCACCCCTGCATGGATGACACTGGAATCCTTCCCAAGTTAAGTGTTACCCTGGGCTGGGAGAAGGCTCCCATCTCAGCTGCTCCTGCTGAGGATTTTTAGCACTTTCACCACGGGGTGCTGCCAGCCCCTGACTCCAGGGCAGTCAGGGCATTGTGGGATGCACAGGACACCAGGCACTCCGTGACCTGGCCCCTGGCAGGAGCTCAGGGTGTGATTTCAGACCTGAGGGCCCTGGCACGCTCGTGGGGCTGGGATGCTGCTGCCCTGCACAGCCACGGGCTCCACGCGCGGCAGAACCAGACAGGCACCAAGAGCAGGATTCCTGCTGGAGACAGAAACAGGCACTGAGCTTCCTGAAAACCTGCCTTTCACCTGCTAAACCCACTCTGCTTTCATCCAAATGGCTGTACTTTTACCTAAATTTGCATTTAGCAAAAGTAAAATCACAGGAGTTAGCAGAGCACTGCTGCAGCCACTTAAAATTTCACTTACATTTATGTTTTTCTTAAACTTAAAATCAAAATAGGAAAAGACTAAACTAACTTTTTCTAGGTCAACACTCCCATTTGCTTTACACAATTATGTCACCTCAGTTTTTGTGTCTTGCTGCAATAAAACATCTGTTTCACTTACCACTTAGGGGGCTCTTTGGGATTTACTTCTTTATTACCAGCTGAAGAAAGAGTTAACTCTTGGCCATTTACAACACTGAAATAATTCTCAGCATATTTCTGTTAAAGGGAAAAATTATGTTTAGTCTATTACAAAGATATAATGGATATTAATTTTATTTAACTTGGTTCATTAAGCAACCAGGTCTTTGCTTGACTGAAAAGTTGATAAACTTTGTGCCTCTGTTGGACTAAAAATCTGATTTTGGCTGATCAAGATCAGTTAATTCTGATGACCCAAAAAACAGAGCCATCATTCTGAACTGTAATGTCTCATCAGTTGCTGATTGGAAAGGGATCCTGTAACATAAATAAGGGGCCCAAGTGAATTATTAACACAGACTTAAAAAATGGAATAATTTTCTGGATCTGCTCTATTTTACTTACTCTCAGCCCAAGTTCAGTCCTTTCAGGTGCTTTTCTGAGGTCACAAAAATCCACGGCTTCTGCATTTCCTTTCAAATTGTTTTTTTCCATTTTAAGTTTCTGAAGGTCTTCCTGACTCTAAAAAGCAAGTTAGGACAAAAATCATACATGCAGCCAAACCCTATGGGGTTAGGTAGGATTTAATTAAAATTAAATTATTCCAAAATAGAGGATAAAAAGATCCATGCAACTCTGCACTCTCAGGCTCTCACACTTCTGTACTACTATAATATTAATGTTATAATTTAAGTAAGAGAATACAAAGCCAAATACTTAAACTCACTGGCTGTAGAAAGGCCGGAAAAACTCAATTTTAAAACAAACCTCACACAGCAGTGACAATAAACTTCAGGACTGAGATTCTCCGCTTAAGGAACGATGTTTCCTCACACACGGCACAGGTGCTTTCACGGGGCAGGGATCTCAAAAGCCTTAAGGAGAGACACAAACTGCAGGCAGCCTGTGAGGAGAGCAGAGCCCACGGCAAACCCGAGTATTTACGTTAATCAAACAGCTCCGCGCCCCCAAACCCCGCGGTGCCCCCAGCCCGAGCCCGGCTCCCTCACGCCCCTCAGGCGGCGCCGAGCCCGCGCATCCCGCGTCCCCTCAGCCGCGCTCAGCCGAGGGACGACGCGGGGCGCTGAGGGGTAACCCGGGCTGTCCCGGCTGCTGTGCCGGGGCAGGAGGGGCCGGTCCGGGGAGGGAGGCGCGGGTCGCGGCGCTGTCCGCACGCACCGGCAGCGCCGGCCCCGCTGCGGCCATGGCGGCCCCG